CAGGCTGCTGACATTGAAAGCAAACAACTGCACTTCTATCAGACCCAGCTGGCAACGGAGTGGTAGGAGCAGATCGTACAGACTGTTGTCCCTGAAACTGAGATGGACCGCCCCTGTTCCTTTTCCAAGAAGATCTTTCTGAAGATGGCCCTGCACCCCTCTTTTGCTTCAACTGCTCTCTTCTTGCATCCTTCTCTTTATTATCAGCTTCCAGCATCAAAGCCCTTTCCACTGCTTCAGAGTAAACCTTAATGAACTGTGCTGTGATCAACGGCCTCATCCGATCATTAAGACCAGAAACAAACTTCCGAGTCTTGTTAACTTCATCTCTCACCATTTCTGGAGCAAAGCGAGAAAGTGAAGTGAACTTGTTTTCATATTCTGCCACTGACATGCTCCCTTGGATAAGGTTATGAAGCTGGTCTTGTAACTCCCATCTTTTGGAAAGCGGAAAGTACTTTTCATAAAACAATTCCTTGAACTTGTCTCAACTCATCTCTTCTATCTTGTATCGGCTCGTAACCGACTTCCACCATAATTTAGCATCCTTATCAAACTTATAAGTAGCTAGGATGATCTTCAAATGATCCTCTGTCACATCCATAGAAGTCAATTGAGTTTCAACTTGCTCCATGTAGTCATCTGCTATCATCGGATCCGCACCGCCCTCAAACATAACCGGCATCACCTGAGAAAACCCCTTAATAATCTTGAGACACTTCTGAGCTGGTGTCTCCTCAACTTGAACTGTAGGTTGTGGTGCCGACTGCGATTGAGCAGCAATCGTTGCCCTCACGACATTTTGCAACAAACGATTAAACTCCAGTGCCACAGAACCTTCACCCACTTCTACGGGTGCTTCAACATTATCCCTCCTTGTGGGGACAGCTCTCAGGGGAATCAAGTCCCTAAGAAGTGTGTCCTCATCATTTAGCTCCTCCGGATTGGAGCTGGAGCTCTCACCAACATCACCCTTAGTTGGTCTAGGGCCAACTTCCCTGATTTCCTCACGCCATGACATCGTTCTATAAAACAAAGGAAACAATTCAATAACGATAACACTAAGGTCCAACCGTGAACAACCCAACGCAAAAACATACTGTACAAACATTTAGCATGTAATACTATGCAATGAACACATTCATGTAAGCATATAAACACATAAGCACGTAAGCAAGTAAGTAGTTAAGCATGCTTTTCCACAAAGCAAAACACTTTTCCAAACAAGGAAATAACAATGCAAATGACTTCCCAGACAACCCTAGGCAAGCCTCTACCCGTCGTCCTAATGGTATTCGAACTATCGTTCTGATACCAAATTTGTTACGACCCTAGCTGATGCCAAAATTTAAAAAAAAATTCGGCATAACCTCCCCTAAAAATGGGTCTTCAACGACCTGTCCCAATACACAAAACACATAAAATATACTCCAGCATCCCATTCATTACACCTCAACATAGTTCCTCTCATGGTAGAACATGCATACACCAATTAATCCAAATTATCATAATTATAGTCCCAAAATACATGGTTAAGATCTAAAGTCCATGTCTTAAAACGTTACATGATACAATTACATGGAAATATGTACCATGATTCCATTAGTTTCATTTACATTAAACAAAAGATAAGTTCGTTCTTAAATTACAAGGTTATGAATACTAACTTAGTTACATTTCCACAACTATGAATATACATAGAATGGTCAAAATACAAAATAGCAAACAACCTTCTAACAACTCTCAAGTTCGCGGAGGATTGTCATCCGCCGTTTCTTTGCCATGACCTGAAAAAAATAATAAGTATGTAGGGTGAGCTATATGCTCAGTAGATGACACTTAAGACACGCATCTTGTGTCCCCGTGAATCCAAACATAGAATAGGTCAATGGGAATGGGGATCATACAATATCGGAATAATACAACATTCCAATCAAACTCAAGTACAAACAATGCAATGCCATGAAATGCGAATGCATGCCGATGTCGCTCCCCGTTTTCACATTTAAAATCCATCTCTTTCAAACTGTTAATATGACCCGCCCTTTGGTGACCCCGTAGCGACACGAGAGGAGGATTGGCTAGTGTCCCTGACCCTTGGTAACCCCGCGGCATGATTATGGGGCCCAGCTAGCTCAACCACGCTAGGGCGACTCCCTAGTCCCATCTAGGCTATATTAACACTCCGGCCCTTTGGTACCCCCGCAGCGACCGGGTTTTTATAAAACCATTTCTTAAAAACTCTTTTCCCAAAATTTCCCTTTTTGTTTCAAGCAAATTCTCCCATTTCATGCAAACCCAATGGTATGTACATGTATATATATCCCATACTTTCAATATTATGGCATTTAGAATTTTACACCACATAATTAAGCATACATCATATTTAACATCTCTAAATGAATTATCAACACATTAAACACAACAAGACAACACAAAATTTTACACCACAAAATTAAGCATACATCATGTTCAACATCTCCAAATGAATTATCAAAACATTAAACACAATAAGACAACCTCTAAGCATGCTTTTCTACTCATATTCATATTCATGAATTTTCCTAAACATCAATTATATAATCATTGAAACAATTAACTTTCAAATTAAACATGCTTGTCACAACAAGAGAGATATAATTCACAATGGAGCAAGAAAAACATGGATTAAGAGCCCCTACATCTAAATTGAACAAAACCCTTGAAATTAGGTCCTAAAATTCGAGCTCCCAAAGAGGACCAAAAGTTGGAATTTCTGGTACTAGCACGTAGAGCTCGTCGTGCTCGTCGTTTTGCCTCAAACGGCACCTAAATCCGCCAAGAATTGAGAGAGAAATTAAGGATTGAAGTTGAAAAAGAAAAAAGAAAAGAAAAAAAACAGAAGCAGCGAGAGAGAGAGATATGAGCTGCCGAGAGAGAAAACAAATTGGAATTAAATGGGTCTGCAATGACCCTTATATCTCAAGTGGGCCCTACAGTTGAAAAGTCATTATACTAATTATATATATAGATAAGTCAAAAACTTTACATCCACCCACGACTGCGTCTCTTGATGACTTTCTTTTATCATATTGCACCGTGCATTTTTTATTTTTCGAAAATTAAAGCAATTTTCATTAAAGGTAAGAATTTACAGTCAGCCTTGGGCCCAAAATAAAATTACAAGAAGCCCAAGCTTGAAACCCCCAATAAAGTAACTACCAGTAACGGCAATGACCGTTTGAGGAAGATAAAATTCAGTCCACCACCTTGTAACAGCGGCCAAGCGGCCGTCAATCAATCCGGCGGCCGAGGAGGAAGTCTGCAACATGACGGAGATATATTCCAACTCATGAGAATGGACCTAGATGAAGAGCAATCACGGAGACCTCCCAATTTCGGAATTGCAGTGATGGTAGAGGAGATCTTGGCACACACAACTCTTTGAGAGGCCTTTTGTCCTCTGAAAATTCTGGCGTTTCTCTCCTCCCAGGTATGATAAACAATAGCTGATAGCCTCACTTTCCTCCTATGTAGGTTCACGGAGTTTTTTGCTTTCCATTGAATACTTGCCCACTGAACTAGAGTATCCCAATTCTTGATCGCTGTATGAATGCTGCATTTGTATTTGATAAAACGTCACATAGGGGAGATGAAGGAGCAATTGAAGAAAAGGTGGTCATGGGATTCGGTAGACATGTTGCATAGGGGACAAATGTTAATGTGTTTGGCCATTGATTTACTATCAAGGGTTGGAAGTTTGGATTGGACTGCCAACCAAAGATTGAACTTCATCCTTGGTATGGTTGGGGAGTGCCAAACAAGGTTGTGCCATGGAACATTAGGAAGGTCCCCTACCAAATATGCAACAGTGTGGCTGAAAGAGTACATACCAGAAGGAGAAGCTGTCCACTTCTTAGTGTCCATTGTAGATGTGGATGGAGAAGGTATGCTGACCAATTCAGGGATGGCAGTGGTGAGGGTGATGGGGAAGGCCCAGTTGTTATTGACAATGAAATTGTCAAGTGTTAAATCTTCATGAAACCCACCCTCAGACAGTAAATTAACTGGAAACCTAGAGCAAAGAGGTCCTCCTGGAGCCCAATTATCCCACCAAAATGATGTATTAGCACCATTGCCAATGGAATGTTTGATGAGGGCCCTTGCAGAATGCCTTAGTTGAAGCATTTTTCTCCAGCTCCAAGAGCATGGTTGTGGGAATTTTAGAGTCCATAGGTTCCTGTCTTTGAGTAGGTGGGAATGGCACCAATTGACCCATGGTCTATTAGAGCAATCAGTTTGGAGATTTGAACAAGGTTGCATTTAAGTAAATTTTACCTAACTGTGTCTAAAGAGAGTCTTGTTCTACATAATTTTTGGACTGTGTATTACTTTTATTCAAAATTCAAAAGAGTACTGTTATTTCTCTCGATAGTCGGTACAACTGACTGGGATTGACGTCCATGCCACCGACTGAAGCAAGGAAATGCATTTTCCAATTCAAAAATAGTGGATTCATATAACTATGAAAATACCGTCATTCTTATTTTAATTCAACCTTATATGAATCTGGAATTCATTTTGACCTGTATGTGTTTATTTCCAGCACCAAAAATGACAAGTAACTCTATAAGAATCTACTATTAAAGTCAACAAATTCTCTTTAAGTGTCATTTAGCTACAGCTGTATGAAATGATGAGCAGATTGAAGTATTAAATTTTCATATTGCTTCATGTCTTCTTCTATGCATTGTGGTTATAACACATAATACAAACACATAGATGATACATGTCATGAACAGATATAGACTTGATCTCTAGTGTAATAATAGCATTTCTTATACTCTGCTTAAATATGTACATGAGCATTGAGCCATTTAACTCTACAACATAGTCACCAACAGGTTGTTTAATTTATTAATATATGTCTCTCAAATTATTCCTACTCATTGGAGAAAAAACATATGTTTCGATTCCTGCAAAAAAAAACACTTTGCAAAATGATAACTAATACACTGACTTTATTGGTTTGATCCAGGAGTTTCCCTAGTTTCTGGCACGACAGAGTGCAGAAAACAACAATCTTGTTGCTTGGAATCCATATCAGACACAGATGATGTAGGCGAAAGCTCTTCGTGTGCATTCACAATCTCCTCTATCTTCTCTAGAACCTCGGCAATGCTTGGTCGGTTCTCAGGAAAATGTGCCACACACTTGAGAGAAATATTCAGCAGAGGAAAAGCATACATTCCAACCATGGCAACTTCTTTGTCGAAAACCTCTCCGGTCCATTCCTCCCTTACCATGGACTTCACCCATTTAGGAAGGTCCAGTCCACTCTTTCCCACAAGTTTTCCAGTTAGTAGTTCCAAGAGAATCACTCCGAAGCTGAAGACATCGGCTTGTTCTGATAAGCTTTTCTCTGGAGCCGTGTAGCCATTGGAGTTGAGAAGGGAAGCTCTCTTGGGGTCAAGAAATTTTGAGTAACCGTATTCACTTATGAGTGGTTCCTCATTTTCACTTAACAAGATGTTTGAAAGCTTGATATTCCCATGAGGAATGATTTCCAATTCATCATCAAATCCCTGATATATGTAGTCCAAACCCCGTGCTATACCGATTGCTATAGACAGTCGAAGCTTCCATGGAAAATCCCTCTTACCATCAACATAGTCTGCAAAGAAGCAACAAAAATCAGCTAAGTCACAATATATAAGAGAGTATATTTCTGAGTCTTAATTGGGCGTTTGTAGTCTTATATGCAGATTTTATAGCTTATATCTGTCATTTTTGTTTTCTGGTTATGAATTTAGAATAATTGATGTTTCTATAAATGACACCAAAAAGCTGAAAAAAATGAATTTGCTATATCAAGTCATTGTCAATTTCATGCAAATTGTGAATTCATTTCTCTTTTGACTAGTCAGCCGAGTTAGAATGGCTTCAATCTCTCTGTAGTTTGTGTTTTTAAACTTGAATTACTTGGTTTAGTCAAGGGAAGGCTGTCCTACTCTTGAACTGTTTGATTTCAACTGAACCAGTTTATGTATGTGTGGTGTGTGTGCATTGGAATTTGGATGATATAAATTTTAAATGTTGGGTAATGCAATATATGGCATGCTAAATAAAGAACAGTTTGATCATTTTGATTTGACTTACCCTCTAGCAGGGTCAGCAGGCTGCCATTCTTCTGATATTTGTAGATGAGAAGCTTTTCTTCATTCGTAGAATTGTAACCAACAAGAGGAAGAATGTTTTGATGCTTCAAATTCCCTATCTTCCTCATTGTTCGCCCAAACTCCTCGAAAGACACCTGCAATTTCTTCAGTCTTTTGACTGCAAAAGTGGCATTGTTCTCAAATTTTACTTTGTAAAGGCTGCTCCAAAGGCTCTGACTTTGTAAGTCAGCTGCAGCTTCAAGGAGATCTTCCAATTTAAATCTTTCCTTCTCCTCAACAAAGAAAACAAGCTCTGAGCGTCTATCTTCCGGCTGCACCTCCTCTACATCTTTGGGTGGAGGAGTTTTTGCAGGAGAGTATGCAAGAGATTTGAGAATCTCCTTCTCTTTAGCCAATTTATCCGCCCTCATTTTCACATAATATGTGAAAATTAAGAAGAATACAAAGACGATAATTAGAGGTATCCATGATGCCCCTGTTAAGTTACTCTTCTCTTCTTTCGACCCAGCCTTGCCAGAACTGCTCTTCGAAACTGGAGCTAATGCACCACCCACCATCTTCCGTAATCTTTTGGGACTACTTTCTTCTAATGGACTTGATCCTAAGGGATACTTGTTTACAAGCTCAGGTTCCTGTTTGCAGTACTGTTGGACACTACCGGTAAAATGATTGTTAGAGATGTCCAATTTCCCGAGACTATGCAGCTTTGTTAGAGCCGCAGGTACTCTTCCATTCAAAAGGTTGCCGCTTAGATTTAGATATGTTAGTTTTGTGCAGTTCAATATTGAGTCAGGAATACTCCCCTGGATTTGATTCTTGGCCAAATTGAGCACACTCAAATTTGGGAGCTTGCAAAGGGAATCAGTATCAAGTATCCCACTCAGGTTCAAATTTTCGAGCCTTATTGCTACTATGGTCTCGCGTTGAAGATTGCATTTAACACCCTTCCATCGATGTGAGCAAGGATGTGGCAGAACGTCATTCGAGTCAGTCCTCAGTATATTTTTGGGATCAACAGCGCGAATGAAATTGAATAGAAATTTCGATTCTGATAACTCACCTCCATCGCAGACATTGATTGAGATAGAGAAAGCAAAAGCTGCAATGCACATTAGCCCCTTTGAAAGAAGGTAGAAACATCTCCTCCACTGCATCACTGCAGTCTCAACTCTTTAGTCTCTGCTACTCTATTGAGTTATAAAACTATGAATGAATTGGGGTTATGAGTTTTTTTTTTGCTGAGTTCTGAAAAAGCTATGGCTATATTTGGGATCATACTCTTTGATGCCCTTTTTGTTTTTGGGATGTCAGATGGGAACAATATCCAACATAGATTCCAAAGTTGTTTCACAGCAATATTCTTTATTCTTCGAGATAACCAATGTCATAAACTTCCAATGATTCGTTCGACGTCTCCAATGTAGTGCCATCCTCGTCAAAGCATATAGACAGCCAATGTTTTAGTTTGATATCTCCAATGTAGTGCAATCCTCATCAAATTTTATCAAGGAAGCTCACACCCACCATGGGATTTGCCTAGAATCAACTTTCACATCCATGTATGGAACTAGAAAGCTGTGATTAGTTACAAATTATTAATAACAATTGAGGGTAAAATAGTTTTCAAATAAATGTGCAATATGCCAATAGTCATTGATTATTTTCAGTTTCGCACTTGTTTTATTGCCTTGATTAAAAACAAAAAAACTGCAATGTTCATGCATTCACTTTTAACATACATTCACTTGTAATTTTGTTTTGATACTCGTCTTAATTTCATTCATTGCAGATGGATTATTATTATTTTTTTTTGGCGATAGTTTTCAAATAAATGTGCAATATGCCAATAGTCATTGATTATTTACAGTTTCGCACTTGTTCATTTTGTATGAATTCAAGAAAATCACATGGTGTAAGGGTCACCACAAGATTTAATCGTCTCATCACTAGAAAACAAACATTCCAATCTAATAATTCTGCTAACTAGTTAATTTGTACCCATCTGAGAATGAAGTAATATTTTAATCAATGGAAGAAACTTCACTGTAAATGGTAATTTATGTTGTCAGTAAAGACTGAAAGGCATCAAACATATAAAATGAGTTAGCTCAACAGTAGGAAAGGATGAGATCCATTTGCTCACAAAAGTGAAAACGGATTAAAAAGTAATACTGAACTAAAAATATATATTTTATTTACAAAATAATAATAATAATAATAATAATAATAATCCCTCTGCAATGAATGAAATTAAGAAGTATCAAAAGTTCAAAACAAAATTACAAGTCAGTGTAGGTTAAAAGTAATGAATGCATGAGCATTGTACTTTTTTGTTTTTAAACAAGGCAATAAACACTCTTGCTGTTACAGAAATTTCAAAATTTTTATTTTGAAGGTCAAAAAGTATCACCAAACTACAGTCTTTGGTTAGAATTGAACCTTAAGGAATGTAAACTTATTAAATTCTCCAACTATTAAAACGAATCACAAATCAAATTGTTCAACAAAATCGCCCTCGCCACTGTACACTAAATTTGGGCAGAGCCTAATGCTAGAATCTTTAGAGGCAGGCCTTCCGCCAGGGACCGAGCCACTGCATAGTCAATGGGGGCAATTGCCCACACTGAATTTTTATTTATTTATTATTATATACCACTAATTTTTATTTTTATTTTTATTTTTATTATTATTTTTTTTTTCAATTATATGCCTATAAAATTTTCACTTTGTCCCTCCTAAAATTACAAAAATAATACACTAAATTCACTTTTGCCCCTCTCCCATAACTTCTTGGATCCGTCCCTGCCTTCCACCTAGGCACGGACTTGGTTAAGGACTACCTACTAAATTTTTTCTTATTTGCATTATTACTTATACGCTTTGTTAAAATTTTAAAAATACTCCCTCTCAATTTGTAAAAATTTTAAAAATGCCTCTTCTCAATTGATAAAAATACCACACTACACATTCTTACCCCTACTATTTTTTGAATCCAAAAGACATTCATGATTTTCTCTCACACATTTTGATATTCTCACTTAATTTTTAAAATATCCACTATATATATATAACGCCCCGGACCCGGAGGTCCGAACTGTTAGCTGGGTCCTTACTCGAACCCGAGGTTATCCACGTCAAACACATCATTTCTAGCGTCAAGCGTCGTCATTAGGATCATCATTAAGTTTTCATAAAGCTCTAAACAAAATCCCCAAGAGTCGAGGGTAAAAAAAAAAAAAAAAAAAAAAAAAAAAAAAGAAGAAGAAAAAAAGAAGGAAGAGCAAAACCACCACATCAGATGAACTTCGGTCGGTCGAAGCAAGCCCTCAAGAACCGGTCGACCGAAACCCCCCATCGGTCGACCGAAATGAGAGATCCCGAGAGAATGAAGATGGTTCGGTTGACCGAACCCCATTTCGGCCGACCGAAACAGGAGATCCTGAGAGCACCTTCAAGGTTCGGTTGACCGATGCACCATTTCGGTCGACCGAAATGGCTCCCTCGAACCCAGAAGCTGAAACTGAACTACTGCTTTGTGCAAATTGAAAGGGAGCTGAATAAAAGACTTTACAGTGGATTTAAACTCGAAGTATATCATCAATCATCGATCATCCCAAGATCGTAGACAAAAGAGCCAACCATGATCACAATACAACATCATTTGAAATCGTTTACATAAGTTTTACACGATGGTTACATTAGTCCCATTTACACCAAATAAGAGATGAGATTCATTCTCAAATTACAAGGCCATAAATGTTAACATTGATTACATTTCCAAAACAATGAGTATACAAAAGAATGGCCTAATCCAAAAGTAATAGAACGCCCTTCTAGCAACTTTCAAGCTTGTGGTGGATTATCATCCGCCAATTCCTTTCCAAGACCTGAAAAATGTTAAGTATGGTGCAGGGCCGGCCCTAGCCCAAGGCGACCAAGGCAGTCGCCTAGGGCCTCAGATTTTAAGGGGCCTCAAAATTTTGAGGCCCATGTATGATGGACCACCAAAAAAAAAAAAAAAATTTAACCAGATGCAACAAATGTTTTAAAGGGCCTCAAAATTTATAGGCCCATGAATGATGGGCCAAAAAAAAAAAAAAAATTTGTAACCCAACAAATCATTAAGGGGCCTCAAAAAAAAAAAAAAAAGAAAAAAGAAAAGAAAAGAAAAATGTGAACCGCCATTATCGTCTTGTTCTCAGGAACTTCAACAGTCTCTCAACTCTCAAAGCTTACCCGTTACCCTCTCTCTCTCTCTCTCTTTGTGTGTGCAAGACTGAAGACTAACTGCAACACAAAAATCAAAAGTTCAAGACACAAAATTGAAAATATCACTGTTGCCGGCTTGCCTTGGCCTTCTTTTTCCACAGGTCTCTCTCTCTCTCTCCTCACCCATCCCATTACTTTTTCTAACACATACACACACATATATATATTATATATATATACACACTGACACACACTAAAATACTAGTCCAGAGATTGTACAGAACCAACTTTAAAGAATCTAAAGCAAATTAGGTAGAGCAAAAGTTAATGAGGTCCTTACTAAAGTTGTAACTGGACCCTTCTTGATAAATAAGAGATTGCTTTGTACTGATATAGAAAAATAGGTGAACAATTTTACAATCTTAAAGTTACAAAAGTTTTGACTTGTGTTCATAGCAGCATAGCTTGTAATTTGCATTTACGGATTCACTTGCAAAAAATTATACTACTATACTTGCTCTTTTCTAACATTTGGAGGTTGTTTTCACAAGACCCTGTTGATTTTTTGAACAGTCATTTATATCCAACATTAGGTTGCTCTTTTCTTGATCTTGCATAGATGTTGTATGTCTTATTAATTATTTGAATCTTTAATTGCAGGAAAATTTGTTTCCTCCATTCAATCTCTCTCTCTGGAGAATCTGTCTCTTTGCCATTCTTGGGTATGTGCCTTTTATTTTCTAGTTATAGCCTTTTGCTGTTTTAATCTTATTATACAGCATGAATTTAAACATAAAAAATAGGAATTGATTTGGATTGGAACTTCACTTGATTAGAATTCTATTGTTAAAATCAAGCCCAAAATCCAATTTTCTCATTGGGATAAAATTCGAATAATTTATTATTATATTATCTATACCAAAACATAAAATAATAATAATAAGCTTTCTAATAGTCATATTTAACAATATAAATAAAAATTATAAACAAAATATATAATTTAGTGAAATTTGTTATTTTGATTTAATATGTCTTATTTGTCTGTATGAACTGTGAACTCAATGAATTTATTGTAAATTTGTAATACAGGAGTTCCAAACTTCCAATCTAGCAATTCTTCACTTGAAAACATATTATTTAGACATCTCACGAGGTATTTTTGTTTTTGCTGTAAATCATATCATTTAGACAACTCATGAGCAATCATTCACTTGAAGACATTTCATTGAGCCATTAAGGTAATCTATATTTTCTTTCAGCAAAGCATTTTTTTTTTTTTTTTTTTTTAAAGTTTAGTTTTATGTTGATCGTGTTTCCTGTTATTTAGATTTCTAAGATTTCAAGATTTTTTACAATTATGTCTACAAGAAAATTTGAATCTGGGTATGAAAAAAAAAAAAAAAGAAAAAAAAAAAAAAAAAGAGAAGAAGAATTGATTCAATCTCAAAAAGGTGCTATTCATAAGTTTCTTAGGAATAATGCACAAACTGAGAGTTTAGTTGATGATTTGGTGGATGAAGAACATAGGAATGAAGAAAATCTTAATGAACATGGAGATTTAATGAATGAAGATATGAATGAGAATCAAAATGAAGAAAATGTGAATGAACTTGAAGATTTGATAAATGAAGAATATATGATTGAGAATGATAATCTTCTTTTGAACATTAATGATTCAGGAAATTGGAAAGATATTGATAAAAAAATGAGAGATTTATTAGTTGAAAGAGGTCCTCCAAGAGATGCTAAACTTAAAAATTTTCCTAAAAATTCAAAAAATAGACATTTCTCTTCTACATATTACCTTTAACACTTGTCAAACGGTGAAAAACATGATAGGAGATGGCTAATCTATTCGAGTTCTTTAGACAAAGTCTATTGCTTTTGTTGTAAGTTATTTAAATGTGATGAACAAAAAACTCATTTGGCAAATGAAGGAGTCAAT